CTCTCAAAATAAATAAGTAAACTTAAAAAAATCATGTATGTTCAAGTAAAAAATGTTTTATTTTTAATCAGAAAGTGTCATAAAAGCAGAATAGTGATTCCCCACTGTGTTGGGGGTTATTCCCCAGGCTGACAGCAGGGGTTATGTTAGAGATCATAGATGTGAAGGCTTCATCTGGCTCACTTGCCCGTGTCTCAGCTGACTCCTACAGACATGCACACACACACACACACACACACACACACACACACACACATACACACACAGTCACTGTTTGTTCCTTTTCCAGTCCTAGAATACATTCTTCACATAAAGGTTCATTGGTCCTAGAATATATACTTCAGATTTAAAAACAAACAAATATAAAAGTATGCATGTGTGTGTGTGTGGGGGGTCTATGATATATATACACACATATATACACATATACATATGTATGCTTTTAAAATATTTTAATTTATATAAGCTCTATATTAAAATATGAAATATGTAGTGGTGCCTGGGTGGCTCAGTTGGTTAAGCGTCCAACTTCGGTTGAGGTCATGATCTCATGTTTTGTTAGTTCAAGCCCCACATCGGGATCTATGCTGACAGTGTGGAACCTGCTTGAGATCCTCTCTCTGTCCCTCCCCACTCACATGTGCTCTCTCTCTCTGTCAAAATAAACATTAAAATTCTTTAAAAAAATATGAAATATGTATTTTAAAATATAAATGTACACATACATACATTTTTTGTTTGTTTTTTTAATTTGAAGAATGTATTCTAGGGTCAAAACCATTTTGAAACCATTGATCTAGCTCAACTCGTTCATTGTGGAGACAAGGAAATCCAACTGCAGAGAGGGAGAATGACTCTTTCTAGGTCATCTAGTTAGTCAAAAGCAGAACCACGAGAGGAGTCACTGGCCAGTGTCACCTGGCACAGCCCTGATTTCCAGGCAGGGTGGCACAGCCTCCTCCCACCTGTGTTCCAGAAGGCTCTGGGCAAGGGTGGCAACATAACAGCTCAACAACATGTAGGTACCAGGCTAAGCAGGGGTGCGGGGAGACCAGCACAGAAGATGGGCATCCTGCCCAAGGCTTGCCAAAGTCATGAGGCCATTGCTTACTTCATGTCTAACCCCCCAAAAAGAGAGGCATGAACACACACACACACACACACACACACACACACACACACACTGGGGTGTTAATTCTCCAGTGAACCAGCTGCTAACTCAGTACCTTGAGGAAGTGTTTATCATCCTCATGTTTCTTTCTAACTTCTTCCGACTGTGTTTGGTAGATTTCAAATAACCTCTGTGCCACGTTTCTCAGAGCCGCCGCTCCTGCTTCTCTGGAAGCTTCCAGCTAGGAAAAGAGGTCACGGTGTATGTTTTGACATTTACAATAAAAAGGGTTAAAGGCAGAACAGTTTGGCAGGCAATTAAAAACAGAAAGGCTGGGGGCGCCTGGGTGACTCAGTCGGTTAAGCATCCGACTTTTGGTTTCGGTTCAGGTCATGATCTCAGGGTCATGAGATCGAGCCCTGAGTTGGGCTCCACACTGAGCATGAAGCCCGCTTGGATTCTCTCTCTCCTCTCTCTCTGCCCCTCCCATGCTCACACATGCTCTCTCTCTCTCTCTCTCTCTAAATAAACTTTAAAAAAAAGGTTGTAACTGTACCATTTGCACCCTCCTAGACAATGGATAGGAGTAAAGACGCTATTATCTGGTAAGAGGAAAATGTAAAATGAGAAGCAGCCTATTTAGGGAAACTGTCATGCAGAAGGATTTGCACTGGCCAGGCCAAAGCAAAGCTCCACAGCCCACGTCCCGCATTTAGAGACTGCACCCTTCCAAGAGTTCCACGGTGCCTTATCAGCTTATACACTTATTTACAGGCGTTTTATCATCGATGCCCACAACAGTACTAAAATATGCATTTTCCTAAAATAGCAGTGGGACAAGAAGGAAGTATGAAGGGTAATAAAGCTAAAGTGTCATGCATCTCTCAAGGATTTAACTTAAAGAAATAAGCAGGGATGGCCACAAAGATTTACCGTCATTGCAAGGGCTGCATACATAATAAACCAAAACAAACAAACAAGCAAATAAATAAATAAATAAAGCATTCAACAATGGATTAATCAAGTAAAATAGAGAGACCTTTGACTCTGAGTGCTCTAATTAATATTTATTAAACATGAAAGCCTTTAAAAATTTATTTCGTACGAACACTTCACATGAGACCTATTTAAGGGTACGACACCATATTAACTACAAGTACAGTATTGTACAGCAGGTCTCTAGAATGGACTCATCTTGCACGGCTGGAATTGATACCCGTTGGATTTTTGTGAGATCTGATTTTCAATAGTAAAAACAGTCTCCAAAATAAACCCGTGGGATTTATGAAATGGAAAAGTGTTTCTCTACATTAGCTGAGCATACTTCTGGATCTACGGATACATAAGGATGTC